GTGGGCATGGGGAGATCATACTCAAGCTGAGAATCACTGTAACAGTGTTGGAACAAGACAATAAAAAGGTGTTTTGTCGGCTTTTGCCTTGAACAGAGTTTGCTGACAGCGCCTTTTTTCCAAAGCCGCGGCGAAAAAAAGAGGCGTTTTGTCGGCGAACTCTTAAAAAAGGGCATTTTGTCAGCGTAACCATTTAAAAAAGACGTTCTTCCGAAATTTGAATGTTAATTTATTCAAAAACTAGTCACACTTTCACTTTGATTTTTTCACACATGTTGGGTAACAGGTCAGACTATCGATTTATCAAATAAAAAAATTTCGCGCCAAAATGAAAAAAAAGGCGTTTTGTCAGCTGACAGCAGAGAGAGTAAACATTTGAACGGTATTATGCTCGTCCCAGGGCCCCAAAATGGCAGATAGAAACGAAGTCACGGGGAATCCAAGTTGCTTTGCGAAATGATTACACGAGTTATACTCGAAAATGAAAATCTAGAAGGCTCAGAAAGAAAAAAACAGCTTCAGATATCATTATTCCTGATATAGCACCACAAATAATGTAGCTATAGTGGTAAAAGTGTAGAAGGACGAGTTTCTCAGCATTTATTTCATTGTGGAACTTGACGACAGAAAAAGTACAAACTCCCAAGTGTCACGTTTTGAATTCTAAAAATAAACCGATTTCAGAACTAGAAATATTTGTCAGATTTCTACTGAGGAAGTGTCTACGTTCTCTAACGTTAAAGAATGTATACAAGCTCAGGACAAGCTGTCTACGTTCTCTAACGAATTAAAAAAAGTAACAATGTTAATTAAGCATGTAGGGCCCTATTTGAAATTGCGGATAAGGCTAGGCTACTTTTCAGTCTTTCTTTAAAAAAAAAAAAGATTTATATTATGTTTGTCGTTAGATCTAAATCTACATCAAATAGGTCCGACAGTTCACTCATTGGGTTATATTGGGTTATTTCATGCACTAGATCCAGGCCTATCGTAGACCTAGCGTTGATATATGACTGTCTTGACCTTGACCCCCGTGATTTGATTTCATGACAGTGATGTCACATTACACACCAAATCGGCAATGTTTTTCCACACATGTGAATTTGATATAATTTATTATGGTCTCTCACGTTGTATCACAATGGCCTACCTTGGATTTGAGGTGGGAATACGAAATCGCATGTAAACTGCAAAATATCTTTCAAATACTAATTACAGAAGGCCTGATCTTCAGTGACTTATTCAAATTTGGGGGGGGGGGGGGGGGGGATCAAAAACCCCCCTCCCCCTGGGGGAAAATTATTCTGAAAAAGGGGGGGGGGGGGGGTGTCATCTCGATGGAATGAAAGAATGTGTTACAGGTTTAACGTCACTGAAAACTGTAAAGGCAAGATGCGGTACTAAAGACAGCTTTACTTTTGCATGTATTTTAATTTCGTGAATGTAAACTTAATAGCTTTTGAAAATAAAGTGTAAGCACTGTGAAAGCAGTTTCCATGTTAGATAGAGCGAGCGAGCTATTTTTAGATTCTCTACTAACATTAGAGAACGTAGACAGCTTGTATAATTCTTTAACGTTTAGAGAACTACCATACCTTCTTCTGATGACGCGACTGCTATTTCTATGCTCCCATAGCTGAAACATAACACAATTTTCAAAACTGTAGCATCATTTTTATTGAAATTGGAAATGATTTTGTAAGATATATGAAGAAATCCGACCTATTGGCAAAGGCTCATGTGGATTTTACGAGTGTTGTATAAAGTAGGGAAAGCCTCTTTACCTGCAGACACTCGCACAACACGTATTCCCCCTTTTTTGATCTCAGTTTATCATTACTCGAATGTGTGTTGTTTTATGTTGTTTCGTGGTATTTTTGGTATCATGTTACGAACTCAATTTTTCTCAATCTATCTCTCAATGAAATCTCCTTAAAATTATATCAATAGAAACAGGGTTCAATATAGAATGTACGCGGATGGTTGGCCAGTGCTCTGGTGTGGTTTGCTTCTTCTTTCCTATCAAACATTTATCTTCCTTATCTCCCCTTTTTCTTTCTTTTTCGTTTGTTACTCTATTGTAACACCTCTAATCTTCTGGTGCTCGTATGACCCTATGCAGTTGCGAGCACCGTAAAATCTCTACTAAAACTAAAAAACTAAGTAGAATGTACATGCAGAAATTCATGAGAAAATACTTGTAAATAAAGTTATGGGAGGTAGAGTGGGATCACCCCTGAGCCGCCTTGGTTCTTGAGATCTCCCCTGGCACAGGGGCCTATTTACCTGCGGCATTGAAGGGGCTAAGTGATAAGAAAATGCATTTCATGGGTGAAAGTGTTGTTTTATGAATCTTTGATCTTAATGGAGATATATCATACTGGGATATCTTCCATAATTTTAAACATAGGTTGTTGCTGCGCAGTCTGCAAGGTTGTTTGTGCTCTTTCTTTCCCATTTTTTAACAATTGCCTTCCTATGCTTTATCGTTTCCAGATTGGTGAAAAGGACACGATCAAGTTCATCCAGCAGCGAGAGTGAACAGGAAAAGGGGAAGTCATGCCCACCACCAAAAGTTGCAAAGAAAGAGTCGTCAGATAGTGATTCCGACTCGGAGTCTGAAAATGAGAAGACAAAGAAAAAAAAAGTAGCAAAATCTACCCCTGCTAAAGTTGCTGCTAAGAAAGCGGAATCTTCTGATAGTGATTCCGATTCGGACGATGAAAAGAGTGAGAAAGCTCCAAAAGTGAAATCTACCCCTACAAAAGCACCTGCTCCCAAAAAAGCAGAGTCTTCTGATAGTGATTCAGATACAGATTCAGAGGATGAAAAGGGCAAGAAAACTGCCCCACCTAAGTCTACTCCCGTAGCAGTAAAAAATCCTGCTGAAACTTCTGATAGTGATTCTGATTCTGATTCTTCTGAGGATGAAAATAGCAAGAAAGCTCCGACACCGAAATCTGCGCCAGCTAAAGCAATAACTACCAAAAAAACTGAGTCATCTGATAGTGATTCTGATTCTTCTGAAGATGAAAAGAGCAAGAAAGCTCCAACACCAAAATCTGTCCCAGTTAAAGCTGCTGCAACAAAGAAAGTAGAATCTTCAGACAGTGACTCTGATTCTGAGGATGAAAAGAGCAAAAAAGCTGTAACACCAAAGTCTAACCCGGCTAAAGTAACAGCTGCGAAAAAAGCAGAATCATCAGATAGTGATTCTGACTCCGATTCTTCTGAGGATGAAAAGAGCAAGAAAACTCCGACACCAAAATCTGCGCCAACTAAAGCAATTGCTGGAAAAAAAACTGAGTCATCAGATAGTGATTCTGACTCTGAGGATGAAAAGAGCAAGAAAGCTCCAGCACCAAAATCTACCCCGGCTAAAGTGACTGTTGCGAAAAAAGCTGAATCTTCGGATAGTGATTCCGATTCTGACTCTGAGGATGAAAAGAGCAAGAAAGCTCCAGCACCAAAATCTACCCCCTCTAAAGTGACTGTTGCGAAAAAAGCTGAATCTTCGGATAGTGATTCGGATTCTGACTCTGAGGATGAAAAGAGCAAAAAAGCTCCAGCACCAAAATCTACCGCGGCTAAAGTGACCGTTGCGAAAAAAGCTGAATCTTCGGATAGTGATTCCGATTCTGACTCTGAGGATGAAAAGAGCAAGAAAGCTCCAGCACAAAAATCCACCCCAGCTAAAGTGACTGTTGCGAAAAAAGCTGAATCTTCAGATAGCGATTCCGATTCTGACTCTGAGGATGAAAAGAGCAAGAAAGCTCCAGCACAAAAATCCACCCCAGCTAAAGTGACTGTTGCGAAAAAAGCTGAATCTTCGGATAGTGATTCCGATTCTGACTCTGAGGATGAAAAGAGCAAGAAAGCTCCAGCACCAAAATCTACCCCGGCTAAAGTGGCTGTTGCGAAAAAAGCTGAATCTTCGGATAGTGATTCCGATTCTGACTCTGAGGATGAAAAGAGCAAGAAAGCTCCAGCACCAAAATCTACCCCGGCTAAAGTGACTGTTGCAAAAAAAGCTGAATCTTCGGATAGTGATTCCGATTCTGACTCTGAGGATGAAAAGAGCAAGAAAGCTCCAGCACCAAAATCTACCCCGGCTAAAGTGACTGTTGCGAAAAAAGCTGAATCTTCGGATAGTGATTCTGACTCTGAGGATGAAAAGAGCAAGAAAGCTCCAGCACAAAAATCCACCCCAGCTAAAGTGACTGTTGCGAAAAAAGCTGAATCTTCAGATAGCGATTCCGATTCTGACTCTGAGGATGAAAAAAGCAAGAAAGCTCCAGCAACGAAATCTACCCCCTCTAAAGTGAGTGTTGCGAAGAAAGCTGAATCTTCAGATAGTGATTCCGATTCTGACTCTGAGGATGAAAAGAGCAAGAAAGGTCAGACACCAAAATCTGCCCCAGTTAAAGCGACTGCTATAAAAAAGGAGGATTCTTCAGATAGTGATTCTGATTCTGAGGATGAAAAGAGCAAGAAAGCTTCTAGTAGTGAAACAAGCAAACAATTGACCACTCCAAAAGCTGCATCTGTCAAGGTGAATGGTGACTCAAACCATTTACAAGGCTCTTCAGAAGAATCGGGCATTGAGCAAGATGTAAAAGAGAAATGTTCAACGATATCCACCCCTGCTTCCTTTGCAAACTCAACAACATTGAAGTCATCAACCCCTAACAATCTTGATGTGAATGGAACACCAAACTCTACAGATGGCTCTAAAAGTAATGGAAAGGTATGTGTCTTTCTTTTCCTCTCTCACGCCCTTTCTGCTGAAAAATTGATGACTGTCTTCCCCAAAAATTAACTAACTTTTTATGAAGGACAATGAAGTTTTGTCCATGGCTTCCACCTTTTACTACCCTCTTTATATAATGGTATTCAGCATTTCATGAAATATTTGTGGCATGTTGTAGTTTGTTCTTCTGTGATGTGTAGTCTTGGGGTTTTTTCCCTTTCACTATTTTCTCCCCCTTTTTGGAGTATTTTTTGTTGTTTGGTGTGTTAGTATCATTTTCAGTAGAGCTATACCTGTACTGATTTGCCATTAAATGTTGAATAACTTATTTCTGTCAATACTTTTGATTATTAATTTCAAAAGATAAGAATAGATTTTTAATTCCCTTATATTATTATAAATTGTTTTACATTGTTATAAATAACTCAGGAGAGGCCTGTTGGCATTTCATGCGAAAAAATTTTTCCTGTAGCTTGTTATGGTTGAATGGGGATGGAGCACTGGTCTGTTGACACTCTTCTTTGAAAGTAGAAAGAAGTGAAGGGTGGCTGCATTGCCCTGACTTCTTTTCATGCCTGAGAAGCATTTTTTTTTTTTTTTGGTGCTTTTTTATTTCGTTTTAGACCATCTCAAAGTTTTAAAGTTCTGCCAAGAATTGACGTACTTTCTGTAGGCCCTTGAGGTAACAGAATAGTTATATTTAAGTCCTCACATAAGAAATATATGAGGCATGGTGGTGACATCAGGCATTCGTCAAAATTTAATGAAATCAAAAGTAACTGGCATTTTTCTGCAATTTTATTCAATTTTTTTTGTTTGTCTTTTAAGTCCGTTTAAAATACATTTTTGTGTGGATTTTACAGAAATACATAGATTTAAGACTCGAAAAATGTTCATGTTGATACCAATAACTCTTTGTGTTCAGAAGTTGACAAGCGCCCGATTCCACTGGGTCATGACACATAATATACATCACGTTTTGGGTATACCCCACGCTCATATGACCTTATGCAGTTGCGGGCGCCATAAAACTCTTTCTAAACTACTACTAAAACATACCCCTTTTTCAACCTTAAAGAAGTAAGAGGGGTTGTGCCTGATGGTTCCAGTGTATGTTTCTTTTGTTTTAAAATACAACTGTTCTCTGATTTCTCAAGTGATCCAGCCTCTTGTAGCTTCTGTACATATATTGTATTTCTATTGGCAAGTAGCCAGTTCATTTTAACAGTTTAGAGCAATGCAATCAGTTAGTTGATGGTGTTGTGGTGTTCTGTAAATGAAATGTATAATTAATGAACGATATTGAATGTATATTTTACAATTTCTGGTAAACGATTCCTCAAAACAAGTTTGGTGCCAGAATAGAGTCAAACCTCATTATAACCCCCCCCCCCCCCCCCCCCCGGCAGTGCCACTGACTGTAGTGTCTTTAGGCCATTCCTAAGGGGGGGGGGGGGACATTTCTCGTTCAAGCATAGTAGAATTGTAAATGGGTTGACTCATGTCACGCTCATAACTGTGCCTGATCTACAGCAGGGAACTGCTGCTTTTTCTTTCCTGATCCTTACTATTGTCATTTTCTTCTACTTCTTTTGTATGTTTATCACTCTCTTGTGACCTGCTATTTCCGGGGTGCCTTGATAGTCGAAGCAGACCTTGTGTTGTTGAAGCTAGATATGTGAGCAGTCTAAGTCTGATTCTCTGTAAAGACTTCTGTTGACACCCACCCCTTGGCGCTCATATGACCGTATGCAGTTGCGAGCGTCGTAAAACCCTCTACTATAATAAAATATATATTTTAAAAAACTCGTTATACACCCACCTCACCCCCACCATTGTACCGCCAGCCCTGCTTACTGCCTGGCCATGCCAGTATGTGATTCAGTTTGCCTACATAAATATAGTATTTGTGCCTTCACAGCGCCAACTGTCTGAGTTGTGTGATCCTTACTAAACCAATGTTAATTTGCGCCAGGGAACTAACTGCAAGAGTTCCACATTACACACGGAACATGGCACTCTCTGGTTGGCTGCTTGATAATCAACAAAGGAACCCAGTTAAGCTACTAGCCCCGCTATTCCTCTAACTTCATGCTTGTCACAGTCACAGGGATGTGAGGTTTTTTCCTATAATTCAGTAGTAAAATGAAATTTTAGATTTTAGGTGTGTCTCTGTCTCTTTACAGATCCAGTTGTGTATCCTTCTTTGCTTTGTAATTGTGAAATAATTCTGTAAGCTGTTGATCTGTTTGGGTTTTAACTGTAGATTTATTTTGCTTTGATATTTTTGTTGAATTTATCTTTTTCTGCAGCGAACTCCGAATGCCCCGTTCAGACGAGTCAGAGCTGAAGAGGTCTACATCGACCCAAAGTTTGGGGATAACTCATTTGAAGCTAAAGTAAGTAGAAGAGCATCTTTTGGTTCTTATTTTATGCTGATGCCACTCCCCCTTAAACCTCATGGGAAGTCACTGTATGTTCTTCCTTTAGTGTACCATGAAGCTGACAGGTAGCGTAAATGTAAGGGACGGGTTCCGATTGGTTCTCTCAGGTTTCATTTAGTTGAGTATGAACTATTTACCTACTAGAAATAGACCGAAGGGCTAGAACCCAAATGGCCGCTGGATCGGAAAAGTAAAGTAAAAGTAAAGTACCAACTAGAAACACTCAAACTCATTGACCCCACTAGAGGCACCTATAGATAGACCTTGAGGTACATTTGCAAGTCTACGAATGGTTTGTTATGCTATATTATATAGGGCTGCATATCGCTGGTGGAGTGATGAAACCTCGTAACCCTCAATTTTTTCGAAATTCGTTTTTTTGGCTTAACATCTTCTCCCAGTCCTTCTTCACAATGTGTCAAAAGCACTAGGTTAAATAAGTAAGAGAAAGTATGATAAAAACTTAATAAAAAAACCTCGTATGTTTGCCCCCATGATATCCTGGCGTGATGAAACCTCGCAACCCTCACCCGGTGCGCCGATCTGCTTTTGCGTGGTTTCATCACTCCCGGTTTGAAAGAGCGGCGTGCTTATACGAGGTTCTGGATAAGCCTTCTTTATGAATTAGCTTAATTGAAGCGCTCATAACTGACATTTTCTGGTGCATTTAATGTATCTGACGGAATAAAGAAATATTTCATTCATTCATTCTTCCATACATTCATTCATTCTTTTATTAATTCACCTTTTTTCAGTCAGTTCAGAAGTTCAAATATGGTCATACGAGAAGTACTTACATTGTGTAAATATATTAAAAATCCATTCATAAGGATGACTAACGAGCTAGTAATCAAGATGTTCTCATCGAGCACAAACGTAGTTAACTTTTAAGTTAAGGCAACAGTCACACCTTGAAATGACAGGTGACGGTAGTCCTTACTAAGACTAGGTGACAGATCTATGCACTCTCCAGATGTCAACAGGCCATTCTGTTTATCAAAGAGAGGTTAAGGTTTCGCATTTTCTCAGACTATTTTTAGTTTTAGTAGATGTTTTACGGTGCTCGCAACTGTATAAGGCTATACGAGCACCAAGGGTTGAATGTCAACAGAGAAGTCCTTACAGGGAATCAGACTTACTCTGCTCACCTCTCTAGCTTCAGCAGCAAAAAGTCTGCTTCGACTACATGTATCAAGGTACCCCGGAAATAGCGAGTCACAAGAGTGTGACAAACATACAAAAGAAGTAGAGGAAAATGACGATAGTAAGGATTAGGACAGATAAAGCAGCAGTTCTCTGTTGTAGTTCAGGCACAGTTATGAGCATAACATTGTTAGATCAGCCCATTTACAATTCTACTGTTCACTAGAACGAAAAATGCCCCCCCCCCCCCCCCCCCCCCAATTTGGGAATGGCCTAAAGACACTTCAGTCAGTGGCACTGCCCCGGGGGAGTCTCAGACAATGAGAGCGATTAGTGCTGAACTTAACCGTGGTCTTGATGACTATGAAGTCTTTAGAGGACATTGTGACAAATTTGTGCCTCAACAACACAAGTAAAACGGACACTTCCGAATCTGTATTGAATTATTGAATATCTCCTTCTAACTGTCCTCATCCGCTAGATCTTTATACCCTACAAAGGCTGGTTTGGAAACCATTGAGCAGACCACGTTCCATGAATTGACCCCACCCACCATATCGCAGTCCTTTCCAGGGCTGTCCCTGATATGTGGAGATAAGGAAGTATCAGCATCATCCCAGAAAGAGTCTGCACCAACAATAGTGTCGCCTGGAATCATACCCCAAACCATACTGACATTTCATCAGGCAGCTGTAAGTCAGATGCTGAATTATTACCTTCGAGGTCACAGCAACACAATCTGTAGACCATATTCAGGCACATTAGCCCCTTTTCCTGGAGCCTGATCTCGAGACACAGCTCATTTGTGATGCCAGCATAAATGATGCTCCAAAGAGGAAAAGAAAGGGTTTTTAGGAGTGGCAACAAATAAGTGAAAAGCTATCCGTGGATCAGGACAAGCATTGGAATACATAAAGGTTCAATGAAAAGCCCAACTAAGTTATTGAAACCAAACTGTGATTGCAAGAGCTGGACTCTGAAATGTAAAAGGCTCTCTGAAGTTGATAGATATTCTAATTTTGATTTAGTGTGGACCCTCTCATGGGATGACTAGTGGACCTCAGATGAGGTATTCAGAGACTAACCAGAGAGGGAATACCTTCAATAAACACTTTTAAAAGGTGGCCTAAGGTGCCAGTGTGCTCAAAGATGTTCCTGGATTGGGTTGGATGAATGATTTGTAAGAAACATTTAGAACCAATAATTATCAAAGCAACTCAGATATCTACAAAATATATGCACAATTCTACCAAGACCACAGGAGGCGGCCTCTCAACAGACCCGGCCTCGATGAAGCATTCAAGCAGAATAACCTGTCGCTATTCCTGTCAACGAGAGACATGTGCGACTTTTGATTCAGTCGTGAAGTTGACAATATGCTGGAGGATCTTTGGAATGCTAACATTCTAGAAAAGGAAGCAGCGCGCAAAGAAAAGGAACGAGCTAAATCTGAAGCCATCAAATCTCTCGCCAGTAATGAACCTAAAACGACCGTACTTTCAATGGATCTTCAGCATCAGTCTTACATTACAAAACAAACTCGCTTTTCATAACTTTACGCCATTGGATGCTGCAACACGTCAGACTCCTTTTTTATGTGTGTCATGAAACAGAAGGGGGACTTATGGCAAATGAGTTAGCTTCATGTCTATTGGAATTCCTGACGGAAAAGCTGGACTTCCAGAAAACCCTTATTGACAGCGACAACTGTGGTTACCGATAGATAAATGTCACACTAGCCAATGTTTCTCTCAGCCTTTTTTCAACAACACACGGAAGCACAATTGAACAGAAACTTTTTATCAAATGACACACACAAATGGAAATTAACAGTGTGAATTCAACTATTACTATTAAGGTATCGCTTCGAAAACATGCATCGAGCTCCTCCAAGACTATCTCCATTTCTTCATGATGGCAAGAGCAAAACAAGAAACTTATCAAAGCAAATATTTGGATCACACATTCTTCAAGGAGTATTCTAAGTGTGGAAGCTACGACAAGTCCATAAGACTAGGTAGAAAAACGGGTGATCCTGTTGTCAGGTGTTTGAAGTACATCCCAGACATGAACATCCAGAACAAGATGCACCTGAAGGATGAATGGGCTGACGTTCCGAAGGCTGGACACAGAAACATAAGGTCCATCCTACCTCGCCACTCTACACAAAACGTTTAAGTTCCAGCACTTCAAGTACAATCACCTGCAGGTGCTTAAATCTGTTATTGCCAATGTGCATCGTCACTTCATGACAATTTATACAATTAACATTAATGGTTGTTCATCATGGTTCAACATCTTTTATGAAAACCACCTGAAGTGCAAACAGAGACCATATTGCAGAGATTTATTATTAATTTGTGCTTTTTAGCAAAACTGGAAGTAACCAGATCTAATCTTGGCAAATTATAGTGAAACAAATTGCATTAATTGCAATCCGTTTGAGGTTTGAAACATAAATTCTGCAGGTAACGCACATTTATTTGACTTCAGTTGGCCGGGAATCGAACTCCAAACCAATTAGTTTAGAATAAACATCTTTATCACTTGGTGGCGTTTCAAACAACAGTCGCTTACTGCAACCAAAATGAGCAGCGAGAAAACTCGCAACCCTCAAACTCTGTCCTGATGAAACCTCGCAACCCACACACCGGCTGACTACGAGGTTTCATCACGACAAAAATGGTGTAATGAAACCTCGCATCCCACAGCGTAACCACATAAACAATATAGAAGTTATTTTTATATGCTAACCACGTTTCTAACGTGTTTTTATCTATCTGTACCAACTTTGGTTTCTATAGGTCATTTTATTCAAGAGTAAATCAGTTTTTTGTCTCTCCTGTAAAATTTTCCTTTCTGGGGTTACGAGGTTTCATCACTCCACCAGCGATATATTCCTATTACTGATTTTTCTGGTATTTACATGTTTTGAACCTGTTCTACTGCCATACCGATAAAGGTGCACACACTACCCACTACCTGCGAGAATTTGAAAAAAAGTTTGTTAGGTTCTTTTTTTGTATCCTCCCTGGCCTATCAAGGGTGGCCAAATATCTGGTTGACTCTTTGTTCTGTTTTTGAGCACCTACTATATTAGAAGTACACCAATCAGTCCATCTAATTCCACAATGTCTGTGTTCGTCTGTGCATCTCTTCTTTGTCCATTTCCTTCTTCATTTGTACACAACCAATTCATTCGTCATATCATGGCTTAGAAACAGGTCGAAGACATTGGCACACTTGACCCCCTTTTACCATCTTTTGCTTTCAAAACTGGGGTATTTTTTGTCTCTCCATGCCTACACCCGTTGCCAATGTTATCTTCAAAATCGGAACCGTGCGTATCTCTGTATACCTCACTACCTTCACTTTCAGTCATCACTAGACTGACTAGATTCACCTTCTGTGTCATCTGGATTGAATTCGTCACTTGACATTTCATTGTCGATATTATCCTGCCAAACAGGGGTTGTATGTATAGTATCATTATGATTCATTATCTTCTTGTTCATCTCTTTCAAATTCGATCCCGCCTTGCCATGGTCACAATTGCTAGAAAAGGATGTTTTCCACATATATCGCATTGCAAATCGATGTCCCTGCATTAGTGATGGGCTGATACCACAATTTCGGTATTGATGTCGATACCTAATGCTATTAGTAACATACGCCGGGGGTATTAAGTAAAGACAAAAATACAACTATACTTTTCCAAGTATTTAGTCGTGTCTAGATAAGTTGTGAATATTTAGCTGAGACTCAAACAAAAATTATTTGTAAAGGAGAGAGAGAGAAATATATATACCAAAAATTGGAAATAAAAACAAAAACTAAGTGACGTACGGGAGGAAAGTCAGCTTTGCAGAAAATGTTAGTATTGGAAAATATAAACACAATAGTTCTAAAAAGGCAATTCAATTTACCAGATTTTTAGCAACTTTAAATTAAACCAATGAGGATAAGTGGGTGGATGGCAGGCGCTCTGGTGTGGGATGCTTCTTCTTTCCTATAAAACATCTATCGTCCGTATCTCCCCTTCTTCTTTTTTATGTTTGTTACTATCTTGTAACACCTTTAATCTTCTGGCGTTCATATGACCATATGCAGTTTCGAGCACCGTAAAACCTCTACTAAAACTAACTAAAATGAGGATGAATCAGGGTTGCCAGTGAGGATTTTGCAAAATCACTAGATAGATCTAGATTTCATGAAAAACTCTCTCTTTTTGTTAAAAAAATCACTAGATTCATTTAAAACGCTTGCGCCCCCCCCTTCCTCCTAGGAAAACTTATCAGTTTTGATAAACAAAAAATTCTTAAGGCCCCAGTCACTTGCTTTGGCAGCCCTGGGATAAATAATGTATAGGTATCGATACCGATACCTATAGGTATCTAAGTATCGATACCTAGAATCGATACCTGCCCATCACTACCCTGCATCCGTTATTCATAAAAAGGCACAAGGTACATTTGCTACCATGACCCAAAAATAGGGCACAGCTTTTTTTTGTTATGAAATATAAGGTCTATTTTTGGGTCATGGTTTTATCTGGGTCACTTACGTACAATGTGGGAGTAGTAAGTGTATGAAACCATACCGGCTAATGTAGGTATAGCCACTGAGTATCGAATGTATGAAAGCATGTTAAATACGATAAATGAAAACATTGGTGGCTGGTGGCCCACACCACTGGTTGGACGCGAGGCTCTGTTACATAATTTTTCAAGCTGACTGTTCCTTTTTTGGGGTCACGACGAGCTGGGAAGGTTACAAGTAAATGATTAAACTGCAAAGAACTTCCAGCCTCAGTAGAGTAATGCCAGATGTGGTTTCAAGAAGAGATAGTTCTAACCAGGAGGATGCATGTGGAAAACAGTACCTTCCCTTTAATATTGTTTTGCAACCCATTCAGATGAATGAGCCTAAAAGAGCTCTGAACCCTAGAGAGATACAAGGAGAATAAAGCAGGTTTAAAATTTTGAGACATCGTATTATTTAAATTGTAACTGCTTTCCGAACTATTCAATTAGGTCAGCCTTAAGATTGAAAAGTGTTGCTTACTTTCCCAAGTACTTTGTACCTTTACAGTATCGTAGTGATGGGAAATCCAGGTGGCTTTTTGTGTAGTTGTCATGTACTGTTTAACGATTTTGTTTTCTTACAGTGTGTATGTTATAACCTATTTTCTGTAACGTTGTTTGTTTTTAAAAAAAATGTTTTTCTTGTTTGTTTGTTTTTTCAGAAAGGAGCAAAAGGATCCTGGGGTGAGAGGGCAAGCAAAGACCTGATTGTTACACGCGGTAAAGGTTTCAGACATGAAAAGACGAAAAAGAAACGAGGCAGCTATCGCGGAGGCCCAATCGATACTGGCGTTCATTCTATCAAATTTGACAGTGATTAATTTTATTTTTTTTATATGTGTACTTGACATGTTTTAAAAGGATATTTGCTAGTTATTGGTGCAGCATTCATGCCCCATCCAATTGAAAAAAAAAATTGTGCTTGAGACTGGCATTTGGGTTACCGGTATTGCTTCTTTTCTGTAGCTCTTTTGATTAAAAAATCTTTTTTGTTTTGATTTTACATTTTAAAATAATTTTTGTATTGATGTCCCAGGGTGCACATGTTATTTACCCAAAGACTTGAAGCTTTCATATATAATGGCTTTCTGCATGAGATGGGCAGAATGCTATATAGTTTCAAATAGACCAACTGAAAGGCACAAAATGGCGCAAAAGTGTCATTGTTTTTGTAACACAGTTCAGACTTTTTAATCAGTTCAGACATGGCAGTAAAAACGTAAGTAATTTAAGCAGTTAAACTAAATTTCATGATCCCCCATTTCAACAAACTGAAGATCATGTTGCGAGTGCTGTGCAAGATTCTTGATGATCCCTGTGACTGATGTAAATATTCCATCTTTTGTCTGTTCTATTTTTAAAAAGGGTGACCTTATTTGGGCAACACTCTCCGACATAACCAAACATCTCTCCTTCTGATTCTGCAAGGTTTATATGTTTCGACTCAGTCTGTAATGTTGATAACGTTTGCCTTGTTTTACCCTTTTACTCTTAGTGACACTGTCTGTGGGTAGAATCTAGATTCTAGACCCATTGAATGCCGAATGCAGATAGTGAATCAAACAAAAGCCGCAACAGGTCACCTAGAATCAAGATCCAATGAATCATGTAAATCTGCCATTTAGATAGTTTATCAATTTACAGAAAATCACAGGGGTTTGTAGGTCTTTTTTTCCAGAGTATGTTTATAATTTATATACTTGCATACTATAGTTAGACACGCAGACAAAAAGAAAAAAAATTTAAATAGCCTAAACTGAATGAGAAAGAAGCAGCTGTAGAATCTAGGCCTATGCTCCTGAATGCCGAATGTGGTGTAGAAAGTCAAAAGTTTGTCCGCGGTTCTTTCCCTTATTGTAATTTGGACACGTCACGTTTTGTCAAAAATGTATGGATATTTTAACAATTTAAAGGATAAGAATCCCACATGGATTTCATCATACAACAAATGCCAACTAAGCCTAACATTATGTTTGATATATAAAATCACGGATAGCTCTCACATTTTAGTCCCCGGTGAACCGCTATATTTTCTCTTGTTTTTGCAACACTGTTTCCTCAAACATCTATTCAGATTTGTCAAATAGTTTGTCTCAAAAAACCCGTTCAAAGTTTTTGTCTCAACTGTCACGAATTAAAATTGCCCTGCACGCATGATGGAAATCAACACACCCATTGTTATCACTCAGGTATTGAGAGACTTCCAGGCTTGCCCCCACATAGTCTGATAAACATGTTACCTTTAGAGTCAGTAAGGCACTTGCAGTTCTTTGAATTTTGATATCTGAGAAGAGGAATGAAATTTGTCCAACAATAGATACTTAATGTCAGGTTCTGTCAGAGGTTGATCAGATCAGAAGACAGAAATTTGAAGGCAATTGGTATCACCAACTTAACTCTTTCCACATTTCTTTCTTTTTTTTTTTTAAATGGAGATAAATTTGAAAGCAGAAAACTCTAGCATTGGATGTCTAGCCTACAGAAAGCAAGTGCGTGTTGCCAAATTTGCTTCAATGGCTCCAGCAAGAACATTTTGCCTTTTGTTATCTCTCATCTCCCGTTCAGATGACAAAAAGCAAACAAAACCTCAGAGAAACTTTTTCTAGACTTAACCAGGGCTGCCCATCATTACGAATTTGGCAGAATCGTTATGATTTTTATTCAATTTTACGATAATACAATTGTAAAACCCCTGATTCTGATTTTTTAAAATTTCGGCTTCCCCAACCCACTGCTTACCTTCCTGATAAATAAGAAGGGGAGAAAAACTACCAGACAGTCTGCGTCACTATGTCATGTGCAGCTAACTTTATCATCCTGTCTGCATTGAGCCTTGTGGTCATTCGGTGTCACTTTTAGTTTTAGTTTTAGTAAGTGTTTTACGGCACTTGCAACACAATACGGTCATATAGGTGCCGAAGATTAGAGGTGTTACAAGAGAGTAACAAACAAAAAAAAAGAAGGAGGGGAGATAAGGACGATATACGCTTGATAGAAAAGAAGAAGCAAACCACACCAGAGCACCCGCCAACCACCCACGGTGTCACTTAGCACTGAGTAAAAACATTGGACTTAAAAAGTAGAAGTGCCAAAACCAGGAGAAAGATAAACAGTAGATTGACAAGATTTTAAGAAAATTCCAGCCCGTTAACTTTATGTGGGTGACAGCATAGGCCAATGAGAGAATTTGTTTGAAATGGATCATTGTTTGAAACTTTAAACAATTAAAATTTGCTATTGTTCTTAAAATGCAACATGGGACAGTTGAATAGGTTAAAAAAGAGAACATTGGGCTACTTAAACAGCTGCGAGAGGCTAAACAGCTTCGGTAAATCCATTACAGTGCTTTATTGCCCAAACACTGTACGTAACAGTCAGTTTAAGTTATTTCTCTTGATTTTCTTCCGTGTATCTATTTTTTGGGGGTTGTTTTATCGATTTACCTGAATTATGTCTATCATGGACATGTTTGAGTCACCCGTATTGTGACCTCAGTGCTTTCTTGTCCTCCATTTAAAAAATTATTTTGAAAATGTGACTTCTTCTGAAGCTCACTCTTTGTTATGAACTGTTTTCACTGTTATTAAAAATGGAGATAGGACAAGAAAGTACTGAGGTAGCGGTATGTGCACCTGACTGTAAATATTGTGTATTTGTGAAATTAAATGAATGAAAAGAAAGTGTCTTAACATACATGTGTAGACAGACCATTCAGTTTAAGTTTATGCATCCCCCGTGTTGTTCTCCCTCCCTCCCCCCTTAACTGTCATTCTCTGTCTGTATAATAATGTTGGATTTTAAAGATTTACTGCTATGAATGTGTTTGCAATTGTTTCCTGTAACCGAAATTGTGTTTGATTTTATCATATTTCCTTTGAACTGGAATCTGCATTGAAACATTTTATCTGAATTAGTTTTTATTTTATAGAGGGCAATATTTTGATCATTAGCAACATTCCACAATCTGGGGGGGGGGGGGGGGGGGGGGTGTAGAGTAGATAAAGCCAATTTTTTCAAATAAGACACCAAGGGGCATCTTACAATATGAGCCAGTTTTGCTCTTGTTCCGGTCCATCATTTGCTACTTAGTTTTTGATTGAAGATTAAGAAATGCCTAAGTCAGTGGTTCTGATTTGAGCGGTCTGTTTCTCTTTAATATTCTCGAAGTCAAAGCCACAAAAAATAACCCAAGGGCATGTGAAATGGTGCTGACGATATTTTCAAATATAGATAAATTACATTTGATTAATCCCCATTTGGGTTACAATCACAAACATACACATATAAATGCATGGTTAGAAATACATAAATATACACATTTATTACTGCAGTACCGAACAATTTCACAAACATGCCATAGTGCAGCGCGTTGGGGTGTTTTTTTTTCTCCTAGGGTTGTCGTGTCTTGCTCAAGGACACATCCCAGTGACCACTCATGTAAACCCTGTGTCACAGAGACACTTGCTCGACATTACTTTTGAGTTTGAACTCACTTAGCCGCTGGAGCCCCCCAGTTGTGTCACCTGCTATTCAATGAATGTCAAGTTTGTCTGTCTGACATTAATTGTTGCGAGCATACTTTTGTAAAATAAAAAGAATATACATGTATATCTCAAGGGTTGTCAGTTTTAGTAAATTTGTTGTTTTATTTTATTTTTTTAAAGCTGTGTTCTGAAGTTCTCGTCTTTTGGGGATAGTCTTGTCTGTCTTGGCAATTCCTCAATACTCACTGAATGAATAAAATACATGAGGGGTTAGCGTCTGTGGTGTAGTAATTGAGCACTTCACTGTCTCACACAGAACAGAGCAGATTCCCATGTGGGGAGAAATTTTCTCAAATTATACATTGTATCTGCTTTACTGCTGAGATGGGCTCTTGTGGTCTAAAGGTTAAAGGTGTTCATGTTTCATTCTGTAGGTCCGGGGTTCAAAACCTAACAACGACAGAAAAATTTCTTCTTTCACCTCCTTTCCTGCTCTACTCTAACCATGTTCTGTTGTCTGCTTTCATCTCAATTTCTGCCCCCTCCCCGCCTTTGTTCCCTCCTCTGGGCTGACTCTTTCTGCAATGTTTCTACTGCTGGCTATTGCTTGGATCTTTCTTCTTACTAATCTTCTTCTTTCCTATGATCTATCGTCCTTATCTCCCCTCCTTTTTATGTTTGTTACTCTCTTGTAACACCTAGGTTTTGGCGCTCATGTAACCTTATGTAGTTGCGAGCGCCATAAAACCCCTATTAAAGCTATAAAAAAAACCCAACTAATCTTGGGCACCTGTGTGTCCTTATTGTGATGCAAGTGTCTTTGATAAAACTTAATGGAATTAGACAGATGGTGGGTTGGATCTAAGACCAGGTGGACAGTGGACCTTACTTACTCACCACTGAGCAGTTGTGAATAAAAAGAAAAGTGAAAGGCCCCATAGATAATTTAGACAGGACCGGCTAGGGCTAAACTGTACATGTACATGTACTCTAGTACATGTACATGTAATTCTATCTGCCCCCGTCGTTTTATGCTAGAAAAATTCTGAAATTATGCAAACTGAGCCCCAAAAAATGTGAAATTAGGCGATTGTTTTGTTGTTGTTGTTGTTGTTTTTTTAAACAAGGAATGATGATAAAGGAAAATAATCAGAAATTGTGCAAAAAATGATCTAATTTTGCTTAATTATTCAGGGTGCCTAAAACCACGGGGACAGTACATTGCCAAGTTGTGGTACATGTATCATGCATTTTGTCTTTGGTGATTTATACCATGATAATATTACCGCGATAGGGTAGGGCCTTACGACTTGACGCTTTAACGTAGTTTATGTTGTGTATGTGAACGATTTTGTACAGCTTTAGTGCAAATGATAGCTGTTCATTCTCGCTTCCATTTCCACTGTGTAGCCTACAAGGTACCTCCAATTTAACAACAGACCCTATTCCTATTGTTTTACAGTAGAACATGACTACAGCGGGACCTTACCGGAATCCCCTTTTTTTTCCTATGTAAATTCAATTACTTATGCTTGGATATAGCGGGGCAAGGAAAGTCCCGAACTCGGATACAGCGGGAGAGATCGAGCGAGCTCTTGCTAGGGGATGGGGGTGGGGCTCCCAAAAGGCAGTCAGCGGTGCAGCGTTGTGATTGGCTAGTCCAGTGATGAGAGAGGTTGGGTAGGCGGTAGGCCTAAGGAGAGATGCGTTATGTGAAAAGCTCCAAAAGTGATGTAGATCTATACAATAGAATACGAAATATGACTATAGCGGCACCCGCGGCAGCGGGACCTTACACGAATCCCTAGGCAAACTAATTGCCTATGCTCGGGTTTAACGGGGCAAGGAAAGGCCAGATCTTGGATACAGCGGGAGAGATCGAGCGAGCTCTAGTTGTGAGGAAGGAGGGGTGGGGGGCTGTAGGCATGATCCAAACAGGCAGTCAGCAGTGCGGCGTTGTAATTGCCTATCCCGTGATGAGTGAGGTGGGTCAGGCGGCAGAGAGAGATGGTGCGGAGAGATGCGTCACGTGTGCAACTTCAAAATTTAAAGTGATGTGCCATAGCGTAGACGCCCAGTACCGTCGTATAAGTATAAATATAAGGCTAGGCCAAAAAGTAAAAGACGAGGAGAGGGTGTAGTGTGTAGTGTATGATTCCTGATTCATTGGAATGCGGTCGTTGATGCTCAGGCATACGCGCGCATCCACTTCATCAGTTCTACTGTATGCCTACCGGTGCGATAGACAGAACAAGCAACAAACCGAGAAAGAGATGGCTTCCAATCCAACAAAGACTAAAGGAATTGCTTCTCACTCGAATTAAAGGCCGAGATAATTAACGAAGTTGACCTTAAAAGGAAGACTTAATACTAATACAAAGCGCACATTTTATTGATATGGAAGGGATGTAATCGTGTAGATATTTAGGAATTTTTCGGTAATTTCCCCTTTGCATTCCTATGGCGGGAACTCGCCTACAGCGGGATTTTTCTTCTGGAACCAGAAGTCCTGCTATAGCCGTGGTCTACTGAATAGAGCTATAGAAAAGCAGGTGGTAGAGGGAAGAAAAAAAAAACCCGACCCAGACGCACACGTGTCTGTTCCATTTATTTATTTAAACAGACATGACGTTAGAGAATATTGCATTATTATTATCATTATACAATAATTTGTACTTGTATTTAGAATTTTAGACAATATTCAGAAATAGGGGGAAATATTTCAATTGTACAAAAATGACGCTGTCACTGTGCAACACCTTTGTTCACTTTTCGTGTATAGAAAAGCTGTGTGAGTTATTATTAGTGAGAGCTCTAGTGTGGCTTGTCTCTTATTTCTATCAAACATCTGTCGTCTTTATCTCCCCTTATTAAATTGCGTTTGTTACTCTCTTGTAACACTTTTACTGTCAACACCGGCTTTAACTTTAAGCTCGGTCATCGGGAGAAAGCTGAAGCGTGCTTAATGCCGAAGCCTGCTCGAGTGCGAAGTAGATATAATCCAGAGATTTTCATGTAGAAAATTTCCTGTGCTATTTCCCTTTGTAAGTAGGCCTATAGTGGTCCAGTGGTCCTGCAAAAGTGTGCACTGTTATTTTTACCCGCCATGGTAGTTTTCATTTGTTTGTTTGTTTGTTATTTGAGGTAGAATGGGAAATGAAAACTTAATTTAGACGGCCAGTCACAATACAGCACACGAGGCCTACACACTGCCTGTCTGTGAGTACCACTGTCCGCTGTAACATACCACCGCCTTCATCTCCCAAACACGGTCTTTGATCCCACCTCGCGCGTAATACCAAATCAGGATTATCGGATAGTGAGGGGCAATAAGTTAAATAAGGTGAAATCGCAGCCTGCGTATTTTTCTCATCTCCCCGACTGTCTTTGTATTTTAAAAACATTCTTTTTGGGTCTGTGTTTAGCTTTGCCCTAGGCGAGATCCTATGTCCACGCGTGCGGCTGTGTGTATCTCTCTTCTTCTCTGCGCATGTGTGTGTGTCCGTCAATCACTTGCGCTGTTTTTGTTTCTCTTAACACGCTCACTGCCGTGGTGTAGACTGTTTTGGAACTTCGATGGGTCATCATAAAAGTATTGACTGTCTTGTAAATGAAGCGTGCCTGAAGCTGAAGTTACCGCACTGCTTTAAAGGCGTGTAATTTATATAGCAAAAATTCGGTAAGAGCCATTTAGCGTGCTTGAGTCCGGAACGTGCTTTATGTCGGCGTGCTTAAAGCCGGCGTGGATTGTACTAATCTCCGGCACTTTTGTGACTAGTCCTATATTATTGCATGTGCCATAATACTCACACAAAAAACAACTACGAAAGGCTTTTTGTTTGTTTGTTTGTTTATCTGTCCCCATCGTTTTATGCATGAAGAATTCTTAAATTATGCAAACTGAGCCTCAAATGTGAAATTATGCGATTCTATTAATTTTAACAAAGAATGATATAGGAAACTAATCAGAAATAATACAAAAAATGATCAAATTTTGCTAAATTATGCGGGGTGCATAAAACTACGGGGGGAAGGTTTATACACCCGGTGTAAAGGATAGAATCACCAAGATCCTGTACACTGTCCCCGTCGGATTATGCGATTGTGCGGCCGCCTTTTTTCGCGTAATTCTGCAACATTAAAATTTGCATAATTTTGCATTCCCGCGTTTTTTCACCCCCCCCCCCTTTTCACAAAACAATTAATTAACGCCTCACACGTGACTAAAGGGAAGTAATCACCGTAATACGTCTCATTTAAGTGACTAGTTGGCTATTTCCCTTGTTAGAAGATCTTGGTTATGGGTTGGGATTTTGTTCCTTGAGCATGTTCAATTTTTTAATCCATCAAACGTTGGTCTCATGTCTGCTGATGTTTCATATTTGACAGGTGTCCCTGGTTTTAGTGATGTGCCAGCATCAGAGGTCCAGATGTCCTTTTAAAAAAATTAATTTAAAAAACAACAACATAATTCTGGCCTCTAGATCTACATCTAGACTCTAGATCTAGATCTTGATCTACAGCTGAAAGTTACAGAGATTATATTTATTTTTTTGGGGTGTTTTTCTGACAGATGTGTATTGTTTTCTTTCCAAATACACAACAAATTAATGATACATGTACTGATATGTTCTGTTTTCAATTTTTCTGTACTTAAAACATAAAAATTCTTGTAGAAAAGTGCAAAACATGTCGCGAATGGTGTTACGTCAACTTGCATAATTTTTGCATAATTTTGCATTTTAAAAAACACATAATTTGGCCATCTAAATTTGCATAATTCTGCGTGGACAGTCTAAAGAAAACGATTGTAAATTGAGTTTCGCAGTAGCATCAGTACAGTCACTCATTCTTTGTAACATCTGAATCACTCCTTGAATTTACATGAACTTTTGAAAGATTATAGCCAAACCTGTGGGTGGTCGGTAGGTGCTCTGTGTGGTTTACTCCTTCTTTCCTATCAAACGTCAGTTGTCCTGATCTCTCACCCTTCTTTTTTTTCTCTTTATTCCTCTCTTGTAGCCCCCTTATCTTCGGCACTTATAATATGACTTAATTGTGTTGCAAGAAGAACTTGCAAATGCTACAAAGCTCTCACTAGAACTAAAACTAAACAGTTAATAAACAGC